ATAAAATATTTTTTTTAATATTTATTTTTATTTTATGTGTATGCATGTACTGCCTGTGTAAGTGAACCTGTGTCGTGTACCGAGGAGGTCAGAAGGTGGTGTCGGATGCCCTGGAACTGGAGCTACAGATCGTTATTAACTACCATGTGGGTGCTGGGAATCAAACCCCAGTTCCTCTGCCAGAGCAGTCAGTGCTCTTAACTACTGCGCTATCTCGCCAGCCCCTTCTCTCTCTTTTTTAAAGGAAGGATCTCAGCTGGGCGTGGTGTAACACACCTTTAATCCCAGCACTTGGGAGGCAGAGGCAGGTGGATATCTGTGAGTTCAAGGCCAGCCTGGTCTACATAATGAGTTCCAGGCCAGCTGGGGCTGCAGGGAAACCTTGTCTCAAAAAAGACAAAAAAATAAATGAATAAAAAATAAAGGAAGGATCTCATGTAGCCAAGGATGGTCTTGATCCTTCTGCCTTTACTTTCCAAGCACTGAGATTACAGGCATGCAATGCCACACCTGGTTTACATGCAGTGCCAGGGATTGAACCCAGGCCTTCGTGCGTTTGGGGCAAGTGCTCTACAAGCTGAGCCTCATCCCGGCTCTCTGCTGCCCTCTGTCCTCCAGGCACGGATTACACGGATTACACGCTGGTTTCCACTCTGCATCACAGCCTGCTACTGACTTGCCTGTCTCCTAACACAGCCCAGTGTTCTAGAGGGTCAGTTGCACAGGGGTGAGCGCTCTCCTACCCTGATGAAGCTACCCCTACATGTGTGGGTGAGAGGGATGCAGATGGAACTTCTGGTCTCACAAAAGGAGAAGATGGCTCCCAGAATCCAACACGCCTCAGGATCTGGTTTCTGCTCCAAGCAGTTCAGGAATGGTACCGCGGTAATGAGTAGGTGTTGCTTCTCAGCTGGGACCAAATATGACCAAAAGGGCTGTGGCTCATTCCCTGGCACTTGAGCCTGGTGCCCAGTGTTAGAAGTCTGAGCACCAAGGACCCCACTAATGCTGCACAAAGAACACACGGGCAAAGAGTAAGTAACTGCTACGCAGCTTTTACTTTTGCAAAAGGGTGAGTTGTGTAGTCATTCAGATCCAGCAAGCACACTGGACCTGGAAATTTGAGAGCTTTTGATCCCTAATGCAAGAGGACTGTGTCTTTTTCCCATTGGCTGGGGTCCAATCCACAGTCTTTCCTAGACAACAGGTTAGTTTAAAAGAATCAGTGCAAAGGAAGGGGAAGAGGGTTGGCCAAAGAGGGGAAGGGGCTCTGCTACCCCAGGCTATCAAGTTGTAGGCATGCATCAAGGACTTTTTGTGGGGTGGAGTGGGATATTACAGGTGTGTGGAAAGGGGGGGGGATTAAAAAATTAGGATTCCTTGTTATAAATCAAATGTTTTACAGGATTTGAAATAAAAGACTACTATTTAAAGTTCCTCACACCAGCATGACTGTTGCCCGGCCTCCACTTTCTCATTGTGAAGCAAGAGGCGGGTAGCCTCTGCCCCTCCTGCCTGTGCTTCCTCTCAGCCTGGGCACACTGAGTGTGTCAGATGAAATGCTCCCAGTACCTGGGGACTTCCACACAGACGTTTGCATGCACTTTGATTTCCAGCCTCGTGGAGCAGGCAGCACATCAAGTACTGATGAGAACGTGCTGTGCGGGGTCGATGGATGGGAAGTCGGGCAATGACACGGGGTCTCCAGTGCTGTCCTGCCCCAGTGCATCTCTGCAGGAAAACAGGAGGGTGAAGCAGGAGAAAGGAAGGTGGGGGAAAGAGGAAAGGGTGGAACGCTGCAGAAAGCTCCCCAGTCCCCAGATAGGGGTCCCCCCTGCTGTGTCACTGGATTCTCCTCGGCCACAGCTGTGCCTCTCCCACACCCTGCCCACCCTGCAATCCATCCACCACCATCCACACATGTCCCTACCAAGTTGGCCCTGTTCCTCATCCTCTGCAGCAGGTCCCCAGCTTTGCTTCAGTGGCCCCACGTCTCCACCCAATCTCCACTGAAGGCTCCCTGTTCTTTATACCTCCTGAGCCGCTCAGCCGCTTGGATTATTTCAGCTCCTTCCTGCCCGCTACACCTGCCAGGGTCCCTGTTGGCCTCTCTACCCAGTTCAGCATGCCAGTCTCGTTTCCTCTTGGCTCAAAAGTGAGTGTTTCCTACTCTTTCCCTCTTAATCTACCTACGTCACCACATTTAAAGCAGGTTTCAAATTGGAAGCAGAGAATTGGGTCATATTTTGAAACTTCACCTGCCTGCAGCTGTTTTGAAATTGGCACTTAGAGCTGAAAACAGGTTGTGTGTGTGTGTGTGTGTGTGTGTGTGTGCTTGTATGTGTAGTGTATGTGTGTATGTACATATGTGTTTGAACATGTGTGTACATGTTTATATGTGTGTGGGAGTACATGCCTGGCCTGGACACACACCTATGCAGATACCTATGGAAGCCAAAGGTTAACATCAAGTGTCTTCCTTAACCACCTTCCACCTTGGTTTTTCAGGCATTATCTCTTTGTTGAACCAGGAACTCCCTGATTCAGTGAGGCTGGCTGGCCAGTGAGCCTCAAGGCTCCTGTCTCCAGTTCCCCTGCCTCCGATGCAGACTCAAACAGCCACACCCAGCTTTTTCTGTGGATGCTGGGGATTTGAACTCAGGTCCTAATGCTTGTGTAGTAAGCACTTTATCCACTGACCATCTCCCTAGCTTCTGAATGAGGTCTTTTTGATGTTATTCCTGTTGGTATTTGTTAGTACATTTTTTAAAAATCTTTTTGAGACAGGGTCACCCTATAGCCCCAGCTGGACTTGAACTCACAGAGATCTGCCCGCCTCTGCCTTCTGAGTGCTGGGATTAAAGGTGTGTGCCACCATGCCTGGCCTTAGTATTTTTTTTAATTATTTAATTATTTATTTATTTATTTTATGTGTGTGAGTATATTGCCTGCATATAGGTAAGTGCACCCATGTCGTGCAATGCCCAAGGAGGACAGAAGAGGCCATTGGATCCCTGGAACTGGAGTTATGGACAGTTGTTAGCTGCCATGTGGGTGCTGGGATTCAAACCCGGGTCTTCTGCAAGAACAATCAGTGTTCTTAACCTCTGAGCCATCTCTCCAGCCCCAGTATTTTCTTTTAAAAAATATTTTATTTATTCTTTTTATTATATGTGTATGAGTGTATTGCCTGCATTTAGTTAAGGGCACTCGTTGTGCAATGCCCAAGGAGGTCAGAAGAGGGCATCAGACCCCCTGGAACTGGAGTTACAGATGGTTGTTAGCTGTTGTATGGGGGCTAGCAGCTGAACCCAGGTCCTCTACAAGAGCAGTCAGTGCGCTTAACTGCTGAGTCATCTCTCCAGCTCCTTGTTTGCATTTTCTAGCACATGTGTAGATATCTTCCATTTTTTATTTTCAGAACTGACTTCAATGCTGTCCTTTGGTTTTTTTGAGAGAGGATCTTACAAAGTCGCCTGTGTAGGCCTTAAGCTCACAGCAACACTCTTGCCTCAGCCTCCCAGGGGCTGGTATTACTACGATGAACCTTTCAGTGCTCTCTAAGCAGTTTATCTAATAACATCTTTTACCCATTTTTCCTTTTTTTTAGAATTTTTTTATGCATGTGTTTTGCATGCATGTATGAAAGTGAACCATGTGCATGCAAATTTGCAGAGACCAGAAGAGCTTTCGATCCCCTGGATCTGGAGTTACAGATGATTGGGGTTTTCTGTTGTTGTTGTTGCTTCTGTTTATTTTGTTTTGTTTTGTTTTGTTTTGTTTTGAGGCAGGGTCTCCCTGGAGCCCCAGCTGGTCTACATAGTGAGTTCCAGGCAGGCCTTGAACTCACAGAGATCCACCTGCCTCTGCCTCACAAATTCTGGGATTAAAGGCATGTACCACCACGCCTGGCTATTTATTTAAATATATATATTTTTAAAATCAATACTGAGCCGGGCGTGGTGGCACACGCCTGTAGTCCCAGCACTTGGGAGGCAGAGGCAGGTGGAACTCTGTGAGTTCAAGGCCAGCCTGGTCTACATAGTGAGTTCCAGGACAGCTGGGGCTACAGGGAGACCCTGCTTCAAAAAGACAAGCAAACAAACAAACAAACAAACAAATCGGCACCTACAATGTCACAAGTATATTAAAGCAGAAAGAAAGTTTAAAGAACACCCAAGTCCCCAGGTTCTCAAGCCCAACAGTCACTGTGAACTTATGGTCAGCCTGGCTGTATCCGCACCCTAACCCCCACCCTGGTTATGTGGAAAAAAAATCTGAAATATTGAATCATATCATCTGTAAACATTTCTACATGTAGCTCTAAAGACAGAGGTGGTGAGACATAACCACAAAACATTATCACACTGAAAAAAATTAACAAGTGTCTTAAATGGACTAGGCTCTGTGATTGGCCGAGTCTTGAATCTTAGGCTACAGGTGTTCTCCCCAACCCCGTTGCTTTCACCCACACCCCTTTTAGTCTTGCAGTTGTTTTGTGGGGTTTTGCCCAGCCTGGACTTTGTGATTGAGTCCCTGAAATGCCAGAGTCCTGACATGCCAGTTACCATGTCCCTCTGTGCCCCGTTTTCCTGCGCAGGAACCTGCCTGCGATCTCCTCTCTGCTCAGTCACAGCCCTACCTCCCTCAGCAGGCTGCCACCTGACTGGACCCCCCTTCCCAGAGCGAGGCAGGACCCCCCCTCCCAGAGCGAGAACCCATGCAGTGGGCCCTGCTCACTGGGCCCTGAGTCCCTACCCTTCCTTGGCATGGCAGGGGGGTCCATCAGTGCCATCTGACTGTTGTCCCCAACAGTGGCCACACATGAAAACTTGTCAACTTCAGGTCTCACCCTGTCCTGGTGGCTCTTCTCAAACATCCTCTGTGTAATGGGGCTGGAGTGAGACCCACATGTGGGGTAACTGGCCACGTGTCACTCTACTTCCTCCTGGGAGCTGAGAACAGGAAGCATCAGACTGGGGCTTCAGTGGCTCTGTGTTCTCCAGACGGGACCACAGAGCCAGCTGGTGAGGAGCAGGCAAAGTGGTTGCTAGTCAGCCTGACTCAGAGCAGAGGACTCTGGGGACCAAGTTGGGTAAGTGCAGGTCTCCTGTGTCCAGGTGGCTCTTACGGGCAGTACCTCAGCGGTGGGCTTTGTCATGGAACTTCTCTTTATGACCCCAGTTCTGGAGTGGTTATTGGTAGCCTCTCCATGTCGCCAGCCTGGGGATCTGGCAGGAAGAGGTTTTAAGACTCTCCTATTCAAGACCTTCCTGACTGACATCCATTGAAGGGAGGCATGGTGCCATCTTGGGACAAAGCCACAGAGGCTCAGGAGCTTCTATAACCATAGCCATGTATCTCCTTTCTATGGTGGTGCCTGGGTGACACGGGAATTACTGGGGGGAGGCGGGGGGGGGCAAGAGGACATGTGCTGTCACCCATCTCCCAGTGATGGAGGTCAGATGCCTGTGGGATCAGAGGTGGACCTCAGATTCTGGGGAACGAGCAGGAAGGGCTGCTCAGATGCTCTGAGACATCAACACCAAGACACCATGGTCACCCAGCTGCTTCATAATGAACAAACTGACAGTTTTGTGTGTGGTTTGGTTTTGGTTTTTTGTTTTTTTTTTCAGTCTTTCTGAGACAGGGTCTCCCTGTAGCCCCAGCTGGCCTGGAAGTCACTATGTAGACCAGGCTGGCCTTGAACTCCCAGAGATCTGCCTCCTGAGTGCTGGGATTAAAGGCGTCCACCACGCTTGGCTCAGTTTTGTGTTTTAAGAAGGCAGTTAGCTCTCAGCCTTCCCTGAAAGTCTCTGAGACCTTGGGCTGTTGGTGCCCAGCCGAGTCAATAATTCATTGAGGAAGTCCTCTGCCCAGAGATATCCCAGGCTGAGTTCCTCGCACAGTTCCCCACAGGGCCAGTGACCACAGGGCCACAAACCAGACGGGCCAGATTGGATACCTGATTGGATACCACTGAGAGGCTGGCTGACTCTGTGCAGTGGGTTCCATGAGGTTCAATCTCAGTCGGCTGACACCCTTTCCACATGAGTACTGAATAAGCAGATAAATGATTGCTAGTGCCTGCCAGAGCCTGGGAAGTCAGGCCTAGGGGCCTCTGCCCCATGGGGAGCAAACTGGACAAGTCCTGAGGGGCCCTGGCTTCCTGACCTCGCCCTTCTTCAGTAATCCTGGGTTTCTAAATTGAAGTATGGGCCACAATCTTGCCCTGTAAATGACATTAACACAGAAAGGCATGCAGTAGGCTGGGGCGAACTGTAGACACCCTGGGATTGTGGGCATGGGGGACCCTGCAACCGTTCTCTGCAGGAAATCCTGTGTATGTGCTGCCTGCAATACAGGGCACGGGAGGAATCATCTGCTCACAGCGGAGAAAAAGTGTGAGCTGGGTAGGCTGCTGGTCTCTCTGAGAAATAAGAAAGTGGGCTGGCCAGCTGTGCAAACTCCAACTGTCTGTAGTCAACAGTGACTCAGAACTTCTCTACTCCCCTAGGCACAGAGTGGTGGAGACCACTAGGTCCAGTTTTATCCACTCAGCTCAAGGTGGTTCTCTGCAGGTGGCAGGGCTGTGAGGAGGCGTTGGCCTGTATGGGTGAGGCAGCAGGGCCACAGGCGGCTTTGCCAGGAGGAACAGATCCTGGTTGGGCCCTGCCTTTTGCTCAGTAACACACAGTTCCCTAGATGGTACAATCCAGGCTCCCTTCTCAGAAGGCAGTGTCTAGGCCACCTATTCTTTTGGCATCAAGGCAGCCAGAACAGGATTAAGGAGCTGAGAGGCCTGCTTCTGCCAGGCCTCCCATGGGACGATGTGAGCACTGATATCCTTGTGCAGTCAAACGTAGGATCCGAGGAAGTTGGCACCCACCCTGGGTGCTGATGAGGAAGAGAAGGCCCAGAACCACTACCTTCAGCAATAGGCCAAGCAGGAAGCCACAGCTCAGCCCACCACCCCACAGCCTGTCCCAGCAGCTTCCTGAAAGCTGGGTCTTAACTCAGGGCCTTGAGGTTTCAGTGTTCTCCAGAGAAATGAACCAACAGGAAACATCTCTTCAAGTGATGGGACTCTGAGGCTGCTGCATTGTGGAGGAAAATCTGCTTTGTTGAGTCTACTGACATTGAGGTTAATCTCAGCAAATGCTAGCACAGTAACACACAGTCCCATGTTCAAGCCAGTGCTGGGGGCCTGAGATCAACATATCGACACACAAAAGTTGCCATCTCAGGATCCTTTGCTTTCTGTAACAAAAAGGGGGAAATGTAGTGGCCTGTGCATGGTCCCTATGCAGCTGGGCAGAGGTCTGGGAGCGTCAGCTCTGGGGCTGAGCTAGTGTGAGCTCCAGCTCCAGCTGTGCCTGGCAGTGTGGCAATGAGCTGAGCCTCTCCAAGCCAACCTACAGACTGGGGGCAGGCACACCCCCAGAGAGGGTACACAGTGAATTGAGACAAACGCTAGCCAGATCAGAGCAGGGACTGTGGGTGATGGCCAGTTCTGTTTCTAGGGGACAACTGTCCACTGTTAGGAATTGGCCCTGACCCCAGTGAGCCTTCCACAGCCCCTTCCCCAGCTGTGGCTTATCACAACAGGCCGTGGCCTCCCTTCCTGTTGGCAAGAGATGTGGTCACAGGTGGGGCCAGGCCTCTGGGATGCTCAGACCTGGCCTGAGACCTGAGATGCAGGGACCTTGAAACCCCAATGGTACAATGCTGCTGCTTCTGGAAGCTTCTAAGGATGGAGTTCTCTGGCCTAAGGAGCAGGCTAGGTTCTCCCAGGTCCGAGGGTGCTCAGAGTGATCCCCAAGGGAACAGCATCAATTGCTCCCTGTGGTGGTGTCTGGAGTGGTGGAGGCTCTAGAACACTTGGAAGCTAGGTGGAAGTGAAGGGCAGGGTGGGTGCTACAGAGACCCAGCAGAGACTGAATCCAAGGCTCTAAGAACTGCCCAGATCCTGGTCCCAGAGGAGATCAGCAAGTGCTTGCTGTGTGTGTGAGCAAGTGAGCGAGTGAGCGAATGAGTGACTAGCCCAGTGAGCAAGCCAGCGATTCGTGAGCAGGTGACTGTACAGATCTGTGAAACTGCTGTTCCCACCTCATTGTCATGATGTGACTCTCCTCTGGAATGTTGGCCATGGGGACCGAAAATCCAGTAGCTTTTGGGATCTAGAGAAGCAGTTTCAGCTAACGCATTGGCCAGAGCTTTTGAGACGTTACTGTGTACACTTATTATAGTGAGTCGGAAAATGTAGACAGAATACGGAAGAAACTGGAGACACTGGTGATGTCACCGCCCACGGGATGGGGAGTATTTTGATCCATGACTTTCTTTTGTCCCTGTCATTTCACTTTAGCCATGAAAATGAGTTGCCTGGAGCAGCTGTTCACACACTGCTGCTATGTCAGATTCCACAGGGTGGGCATTATAAACGGTAAAATGCTAAAGCCAGGGCTGGAGAGATGGCTCAGTGGTTAAGAGTACGGTCTGCTCTTGCAGAGGACCCAGGTTCATTTCCCAGCACCCACATAGTGGCTAACAGCTGTCTGTTCCAGGGGATCCAACACTCTCTTCTGACCTCCGTGGGCATTGTATGACACTTACATACATGCAGGCAATACATTCATACACATAAAATTAAAAATAAATTTTTTTCAATGCTAAAACCACCTTCCATTTGAAAGCCACTGCACAAATGCAGGTGTTGGGTGGGCATCCCATGTATGAGCAGTGCCGGTTGCTCAGTGTGTTCTCACCAGCATGTTCTGCTTGTTGGATGATCATGGCCTTTTCTGAGATGCTTGGTTTTTGTTTAAAAAAGATCTCCATTTCATTTTAAAATACACTTTCTTACAGAAAGACTCATTGTTTTTGCTCATAACACTGAGATGTTGGCACATGCATCTCTAATCTGTATGTATCTGATTATTACTAGTCATAATCGGTTGCACTTGGATCCTTGGCGCCTGTGTATGTCTATGAAGTCATCAGGTAGATTGTAATGGTATTGTTTATCGCCTCTACTAATTAGCATGATGTAAATTTCCAGGCTTCCTCCTCAAATATAATTCATTGTTTTTAATTTGTTTTTTTTTGTGTATATCACACAGAACATCCCAAACCATCTTGTTTAACTGTACACCCACTTCCCAGATGGCAGCCTTCCATAGCCTCCCTCCCCCCACTAGAGCCCTTATACTCTGATATCCCTGCTACTGCCCGCTGTGTTGTCAGCACCCCAGCCATTCCCCACTACTTGCCCTTCTGGTGAATCTAGTCAGCCTATCTAGAGGTCTTTGGTTTAGGAGGGTCAGCTGTTCCTCATCTAGCAGTAATCAGTTGTCAATATTCCTTTAGATAAGATTGGGGTTTGCTCCTTTAGTTTTCTTAAGTAGCCTCGGTCGTCCTAGAACTCACTATGTAGACAAAGCTGGCCTTCATCTCACAGAGATCCACCTGCCTCTGCTTCTCAAGTGTTGGGATTAAAGGTGCCACCACACCTGGTCCTTCTATTCTTTTTTTCCAATACGCCTTTTGTATTTGTAGATTTTTTTTTTTTTTTTGAGATAGGGATTTATGTAGCCCAGGTTCGCCTCAAGCTCATTGTGTACCCAAGAATGACCTTGAACTCTGATACTCATGCCTGTCTCCTTGCTTAAAACTAAACTGTACATATTCCTTCTCATTTTTAAAAAGATTTATCTTTGTTTTATTGCCTACATGTATGTATGCGTGCCGCATAAATGCTTGGAGGGCAGAAGAGGCACCAGATCCTCTAGAATTGGAATTACATTTATGGTGAGCCATCATTTGGGTGCTGAGGACTGAAACCAAGTTCTCGGAAGAGCAGCAAGTGCTCTTAACTGCTGAGCCGTCTTTCTAGCCCTCCCTTTAAAAAAAAATGCAGCTGCATGTGTATGTGTGTATAAGCATGTGTGTGTATACGTGGAGGCCAGAGGACAACCTCAGGTATCATCTTTAAGAAGGTCATCCCACCTCCTTTGAGGCAGAGTCACTCATTGACCTGAGGCTCTACTGGCTGGTTAGTGAGCTCCAGGGACCCACCTGTTTCTACTTCCCTGG